GGAAGAACAGGGCATGGATTTTCGGGAGTGTTGAATTTTGGAAGAACTGGGAATGGATTTTCGGGATTTTGGGCTTAGGAAATAAGAGTAATATGTTCAACAATTCCTCAGGGTTGTACCCCAAAATAATCCCTAAATCCTAAACCCAACTACAGAATCCTAGAGTTCCCTCAAGGTTGCCCCTAAACTGTCAGGGTCAAGGTTGCTGGGATTCTAGGGGGCTGAACGGGGTTTGGGGTTTGTGCTTTAGGGTTTTGGGGTTTAGGATTTAGGATTTAGAGTGTAGGGTTTAGGATTTAGGGTTTAGGGTTTGGGGTTTAGGCTTTGGGGCTTGGGGGTAGTGTCACTGCGATTAAGGTTTTTTGGGGTTCCGCACGTCCTAATTACGACCCTAACTCCACAACCATGAGGTGATGTAGTGCTGCAGTCGTAAGACTACCATGCCGCCCCTCCCCCCCCCCCAACCCCAAAAGCACATTCTCAGACTAGTAAAGTATACGCATGTCTAAATGAGCCTTCATAGCCCCTGCCCTCAAAAGTCCTTTAAACAATTGTGGGGCGGCCCGTATAATATCATCATTTCAGCTGTTATTATCATTATGTTATCGCTGACTACTACAGTTATTGCTTACTATTAACCTCACTATCATTGTTAGTGGTTGTGATGGGGTTGGGGGAACTCCAATTTCTGGATGAATGGTAGCATGTCTCACGCTAGACCGGGGACATCGCCGACTTGCAATGGTGCGCTGTATACTTTTGGGGGTATGGGATTCCTGATAACTGTGCAAAGAGTTGCGGGGATAATCGGTACAAGCCAGACCGAGCCTTTTTTCTTCCCAGGGTACTGTGGGCAAAGGTTTGGGGTCCATGAAATTTGTGGCTTAGTATGCAGGACTGTTTAGGATTTAGGCTAGGCCCTTTAGTAATCCCTGTACCCCTGTACCCCGAAGCCCTTTACGAGCCCTACAAGAGCAAACCTTTGTTTGAAGCCTCCAGCTGGCCTTCAAGCCCTAAACCCGAAACCCTAATCCCTAAACCCTAAACCAGGACCCCTAAACCCAAAACCCTCATCCCTAAACCCCTCAACCCTGAATCATAATCCCTAAAACCGAATGCCCCAACCCTAAACCCTAATCCCTTGAACCCTCAAACCAGCGAGGCCTCCTCCCTTCGCCCTTGCAGGCCATGATGGGCCGTTCGAAGAAGAAAGCTCAGCGACTCGCCTCACAGAGGGGCCCCTTCTAGGACCATTACTGTAGGGTTTAGGGTTTAGGGTTTTCAGTTTAGGGTTTAGGGTTTATACGTTTTGTGCTTATTTTTGTTTTGATTATTCTTATTATCATTTTGATTACTTCTGTTATCATTGTTATTACTACTCCTATTATTACTCGTAGTATTATTACCTTTATTACTATTCTTGTTGTGATTGCTGATAAATGTCAGAGTTTTGGGCTTAAGGTTTAGGATTTGGGTTTGAGGATGTTTGAGGGTGTAGGTATTAAGGGTTTAAGCATCAAGTGTTCAGGATCTTGTGACTTTTTTGGGGGGTTAGGCTCTGGGTTTTGAGGCTTCCGAGATGAGGATATAAGGTTTTGGGTTTAGGATTGAACGGCATAGGGCGCTCTTTGTGCCAGCTCTTTTACCACCATGACTCCCAGGCATGGGCCCTTAACCTTGGGATTCTTATGTGCCTGCTGGGTACCCCGTATGTACCCTCAAGGGTCCCTAGAATCCCTGCTAAGGGCCCAGGAACCCCTATCAGGGGCCCATACTTCTTACATCCCTAGACCCGAAACCCAAAACCGAGTTACCAGGGCCTCTGGGTGCAAGGGAGGTAGGTGTTGAGGAACCTCATGGTACCTGGGGGAGTGCCAGTGAGGATCAAGTTGGAGTTTAGGGCTTAGGGGGTGGGGTTTTGGGGGTTAGGGTTTAGAGGCTTTAGGGTTTAGGGCTTAGAGGTTAGGGTTTAGGGTTTCGGGAGCATTGGGGGTTTCCAGGTATTTCCCCTTAACTCAGAGCTTGTCATTTCCTCTTGGAGCTTCTTAGGCTTAGGGTTTAGGGTTTAGGGTTTAGAGCTATCAGCGGCATATCTTGAAGCCGCAGGGTTTGCCATCCTCCCACTACCCTAAACCCTAAAACCCTGATCCCTAAAACCATGAACCCTAATCCGTAAACTCTAAACCCTAAAACTCTAAACCTAGTCCCTAAACCCTACATGATAATTTCCCAAAATAATGGAACTCCAATATAGACCCCAAAATACTATAGTCTATAGTCCTTATTATAGGGACCCCCAAAATGGTACCCCTAATTTTGGGAATCTACCACATCCCTAAACCCCAAACCCTAACCCTGAACTGCGAGTTGAGCTTGCTCATGCTGGGCCCTTACTATTGCAGGCCTTCTTGGGTTTTTTGGACTTTCTTCTTTGGACGGTTGGGTTTAGGATTCAGGGTTTAGGATTTAGGGTTTAGGGTCTAGGGTTTAGGGTCTAGGGATTAGGGTTTAGGGTCTAGGGTGCAGGGCTCAGGGTCTAATTCCAAATTGTTGGTAGCTTTCGCAGGGGCTCTACGCGTTACATAGGGGGTCCCTTTCGGATTACAGGAGGCTTTTTTGGGGAGTATTATACGAAGAGGGATACTAGGAGTTTAGACTATAGCATACATAAGGAGATTTGGGGTTTAGGTTTAGGGGTGTAGGGAATTTAGGATTAAGGCCTTGCCAACAGGTTTAGGATTTTCGGGTTTCAGGGTTTCAGGGGGTAGGGTTTGCAGGCCTCCCCCCCCCCACACACACTTTTCCTAAGGGGCCCTGCCCTACAACACTTGACAACAGGGCCGTCTACCTGAATCAGTTCCGAGGTCCAAGATTCCTATGAAAGATGCGACGTATGCCTTCCAGCGCGATGTCTACGCCGACTTGGAGTCCCTTGTTGAATGGAGAGAAGAAGAAAATAGAGGCTAATGTATTACTAGGGGTTAAGCAGGGGCTAGTACATATACCGCGAAAGTATGTACGCATTTTTGGGCGCACGTACTTATACCCTAAACCCTAAACCCTAAACCCCTAAACCCTAAACCCTAAACCCCTTAAACCCTAAACCCCTAAACCCTAAACCCTTAAACCCCTTATGGGTTCGGGTAGCAGGGACGTCTGAATGGAAAGGGCAGGAGCCGAAGCTTCATCCTTGGGCGCTGGGTCTGCAGGTTTCTGAAAAGCACGGGTCCAGCCTCCTACTATAAGGGCCTAAATAAGTACCAATATTATGGTTCCATATTCCTAGGGTTTAGGGTTTAGGAATAATTACCAATATTTTGGCTCCATATTCCTTGTATAATTATGGTCTATAGTACCTCAAATGGACCTCAAAATGATATTGGTAATTGTTTAAGGTCCTGTATTACCTGAACTATAGTCTAAACTCCTTACGTAAAGGGGGTTATATATAGAGGGTTATATAGGGGGCTAGTACAGTGGTTATTAAGGGGGTATTAGGAGTTTAGACCATAGCTCACTTGAAGGTTCATGGGATTCAGTAATTACCTACAACAACTGGGCCTTATACCCCAAGCAGTTCGACGACGGCTTACAAGTAGGTTTATAAGTCCAGTTTTAAGCAGTTACCCAGTCCCCCACCCTAAGCCCTAAACCCTATGCGCCCCTGTAGCCCCTTCAAAGGGACTTACCTATACTGTTGATGGAGGAAATCTTGCACCACCTTAAGTCCCTAAAGTCCTAGGAAGTACAGTAGTTTAGGGCCCCAAGGTGGTGCAAGATTTCATCCATCAACAGTAAGTACTTACCAAGTCCCCTAAACCCTAAACCCTAAACCCTATAAACCTTCAAGGAGGCATGCGCGTGAATCCCCCCCAGGGCTCCCGAAGGTAGGTGATTCTGCTCCAGGCAGATATGAGCTACGGACTAAAGTTAGGTTGGGGGGGACCTATAGGGGACTATATAGGATCTTGGGGAGGACTTATTAAGGGATATACTACAAATTTAGTCCAGGGCTCATATGAGCCCTAGTCTAGACTCCTAGTAGCCCCCTTAATAACCCTATAGCAGTCCCCTAGATGAGCTGCGGACTAAATTTAGGTTGGGGGGACCTATAGGGGCACTATTTTAGGGTTTTGGAGGGGAACTATTGAGGAATATATGACAAATTTCATCCAGGGCTCATATAATCGCCTACATCACCCCCTTTAAGGAGTTTAGACCCTAAACTCCAAACTCCATGGCCCATGTTATCTATTGAGCTAGAGGCCCAGGGTTCTAGTCGTGTGAAGACTCTTTGATGGCTTGTCCGCATGTCTCTCCGTTAGGCCTTGCCCTTTGTATGATGGCAAGGGTGTGGGGCTTAGGGTCTCTCCTCCCGAATAATGGGTTCTAGGTTCTATATACCCCATAGTTACATAACGCAGTAGCTTACTATTTAGGTAAATGGGTTCTAGGCTCTATGTACCCTATAGTTACATAGCCCAGTAGCTTACTATTTAGGTAACTGAGAGCCCCAGGGAACTAGGGTTTCTTGACATCATAAGAACCTAAGGTTCACCAACGATGTCGGCTACTTGCCGGACGGAACCCCGCTTAACAAAGCGGGCAACGCTATCAACCACCCGGAGACGATTGCCGCGGACAAGCACATTGCTGGATCCCCACTTCCCCGCGCTAAGTTTGTGAATTCCGTTGGATACCTCCCCGATGGAACGCCGCTGAATGCGGCTGGCAATGCCATCAACCACCCTGAGACCATGCAGCCGGACCCTCATGTTGCTGGCTCTCCCTTGCCGCCTTCCTCCTACCTTGCGGACATTGGCTACCTGGCTGATGGCACGCCCCTGGCCACTGCGGGCAACAACTCTGTGAAGGGCGCTCCGGCAACACCACCACCTGCAGCTGCGGCTGCTTTCGTGGGCTCGAGCGTTCCTTCCCCACCGCCCATGGCCGCGTCCGCTCCGCCACCGACGGCGGCCCCAACCAGCCAAGGAACAGCCATGTATGGCCGCAAGTTTGAGTACAGCTTCCAGAAGGATGCCTACGCGGAGCTGGAGTTCTGCAACGATGTGGGTTACCTGCCGGACGGCACTCCGCTGAACCGCGCAGGAAATGCCATCAACCACCCGGAGAACATCGGCCCTGACCGCCATGCTCCTGGATCTCCATTGCCCCGTGCTAACTTTGTGAACTCCATCGGCTACCTTCCGGACGGCACGCCCCTGAACCGTGCGGGCAATGCAATCAATCATCCTGAGAGCATCCAGCCTGACATGCACACCCCGGGCTCACCTTTGCCAGCCTCCGTTTACGCCGCCGATGTCGGTTACTTGGTGGATGGAACCCCGTTGGACACTGCCGGCAACAACTCTGTGAAGGGTGCTCCAGCAACACCACCACCTGCAGCTGCGGCTGCTTTCGTGGGCTCGAGCGTTCCCTCTCCTCCACCCATGGCTGCAACCCCTTCCCTATCTGCTGCAGCCCCTGCGGCCCAGGGTACCGCCATGCATGGCCGTAAGGGTGATTACAGCTTCCAGAAGGACGCCTATGCCGACCAGGAGTTCTCCAATGACGTGGGCTACTTGCCGGATGGCACTCCGCTGAACCGAGCGGGGAACGCCATCAACCACCCAGAGAGCATCGGACCGGACAGCCATGCTCCAGGATCTCCGTTGCCCCGTGCGAACTTTGTGAACTCCATCGGCTACCTTCCGGATGGCACGCCCCTGAACCGCGCTGGCAATGCCATCAACCATCCGGAGAGCATTCAACCCGACACACACACTCCGGGTTCGCCTCTGCCAACCTCCGTGTATGCAGCTGATGTGGGATGCTTTCCTTATTATATGTCAATGTGGGCTTTATATGGGTTATATCGGGATAATGGAAAATACCATGGAAACTACTTTTCTGTTTAGGGTTTAGTTAGGTCCAGCTTACCCGGTGCAAAGCTCGGAAATGTAAAAGGGGATCTCGTTTTGTAAACGACAGCTCGCTAAATTGAGTTCGGGAAGGAACTCCGTGTCGTGTTCCTGTTGTCCCTCCTGGAATGTCAAAATTACGTGATCTACTCTTAGCCATTATCCCCAAATCCTACCACCAAAATGGTTTAAGCTTACTTTCTTTCCTGGATTTCAACCCCCCAAATGATGATCATTTATGTTCCCCTAATTGGCTAAAAGTAGTCTTATGGGACTTTAGGCTGATGCTTGGAGTATTTGTTAGTGGGAGGGTTTATTAGTGGGGAGAAGGGATTACACGCCAACCAGGGTCTTTTCCCCCTGGGTTTTCCCCTGGCCTGTATAGATGCCGGATTTTTGTACACGGAACGTTGATCAGGAGGGATTCTTGAATTCAATCGAAGGCTTCAACTAAAACATGGATTACATACCATCGTAACATGGTAAGATGTGTTGCATGGAAGTTGTCAGAATTGCCGTCCCTTTTATGGCTACCCTGACTGAAGGAGGCCCTATTCTCCTTGGGACTCAGCTTGGACCTTTGACACTTAACCCCTTTGGGATTCCCATTATAGGTACCTAAGCGTTAACCCTTAGTAGGCGTCCTAAGTGCCACGTAGTATTTTGTAGCAGAGGACCGAATAGGGGACCATGCTTTTGACAACTGCCCCTGCCCCTATCTTTCAGGAATCACTTTGAGGTATGTCCCGAGCGAGCCTTCTTTGGGACAGTCGCGTAAACCCTAGACCATAAACAGTGCGTCTAAGGATACCTCGTGGATGGCACACCTCTCGAATACGCCGGAAACAACTCCGCAGCTCGTCGGTCGTTTTGTGCTTTGAGGGCGAGAGGTTGGAGGCTCTCAGTATGTGTTCTTCTCCCCATAACAAAAGCAGCCGAAACGGTTAGTGTACATAGATAGATATATAGTTTCCATAACAAGGGGACCCTGATATAGACGCAAAAACATTTGAATCCCTTCTGCGGGGACCCCCCACAACAGGATCCCTTATTTTGGGAGACGCCACGTGGATAAATAAATAAGCAAATAAATAAATATATAATATATATATATAATCTTCTGTGTGTATATAATATATGTATTCAACATATATAGTCTTTGGGCCACTGATTTTGAGAAGCTCCTAAGCGCATGATTGCAGGCTAGAATCAGAACTCGTTGTTGTTTCTCCATGTGAGCTATAGTCTAGATTCCTTAAAGGGGGTATATAGGGGACCCTAAACCCTGAACCCTAAACCTTAGACCATTATATAGGGGAGTATTATGGGGGTTGCTAAGGGGGATACTAGGAGTACGATCACCTGAAGTCCCTGAACCCTAACCTTAGTTAGGGTTTAGGGTTCAGGGTTTAGGGTTTAGGGTTTGATGGAGGGTCTGTGGCACACCGCGAAGAAATTAAAATGGCAAGGGCTAGGCATGCGTGTGCCTATCATGAGATGACGGGCCTACGGTGGATATTCGAAATATCAAAATATTCTGCATGGCCCTAAGTGCCTAATACCTTGGTAATTATGGTACTACATAACATACTAAGGTGATGCCAATGCGGATTTGGTATCCACTGTATTTCGAAGAACCCTACCCCTAAACCATAAGCCCTAGACCCTAAACCCTACCTTGCGTCATTTCGAAGGCCCATCGGCAACCTTCTTGGATTCATGCCAGTTGATTCTACTGAGAAGCGCTCACAACAGACTCTGAAACCTTGGTCTAAAGCCCTGAAGGTTTAGGGCTTAAGGGTTTAGGGGTTCAAGGCTTAAGGGTTTTAGGGTTGAAGGGTTAAGGGTTAATGGTTTAGGGTCCCGAGCCGTACGCCCCAATCCCTGACCCCTTTGAACTCCAAACCAAAACCGAAACTGTACCAGAACCCCTCAGTACCCTCCATAAGCCTACATAAACCCTGTGAAGTGTAATAGGCAGGACCTGGTGGACCCTGAAATCTCAAAAAGCGGCCTACACCCCAAACTCTAAGCCCCGAACCCCAAACTTACTGGGCTTTTTGTTATAGGATTATATACTCTATCCCTAGTAACCACCAGTAAGTGAACCCCACATATTTTCAAGGTGAAGATGGCCCCGCCCGCGGGCGCTGCCCCAACGCCCGCTGCTGCGCCTGCTGCAACTCCAAGCCGCTCAGTATGACCCACAGTTAAGGGTTTAGGGTTTAAGGTTTAGGGCTTAAGGTGTAGGGCTTAAGGTTTAGAGCCAAAGGTTTAAGGTGTAAGGGTTGAGAGTTTAAGCTTTAAGGGTTCAGAGTTTAAGGTTTAGGCCTAAACCCTTAGAGGCTGAGACCGTGAACCCTAAACCCTAGACCTGAGACCCTAAGCGGTTTAGGGCTTAAGGTCTCGGGTTTAGGGCTCAAGGTTTAGGGTTTGAGGGTTTAGGGCTCTAAGGGTTAGGGTTCAAGGTATAGAGTTCACCTGACGGTTCATAGGAACATAGCCCTACTTATAATCTACCTAACTGGACTTCTGCAGGTTCCCCAATGATAAGTAGGATTGAAGGTCCAGCAATAAGTATTACTTATTCCAATGAACCCTCAAGTAGGGTCTCGGGTGTACAGGCATTAGGGTTTATGGAGTTTATGGGGGGGTCAGGGTCTAGAGAAGGAAAAAAAGCTTGTGAACGAGGATACGGGGGGTTACATAGGGCTCTTCGAGATGTAAAGAAAACACAGGCAAAACCCTGCACCCTTATTATAGGCTTCTACGGCAAAATTTACGGGGATGTAAGGGTTGTATAGCGTTCCATGAGACTGAAGACCGGCTTGCCACGCTTGTGGTTTCCAAGCATTACGGGCTTGAGCTCTGAACCCCAAACCCCCTGGGCCCTATGTGTGGGTGGCTCTTACCCGGACCCCCAAAGTATTTGGCAAAATTGCATTGTTGAGCTTTGTTTGTTCCCGGACTTTTGGGCAATCCTTTTCTCCGTTTTGAAGTTCATGGAGGGCTCCAAGGGTTTAGATCAAAGTTTGGGGTTCACAGTTTCCGAGCTAGGGTTTAGAGCATTTCAGCTGTAGTCTAAACTCCTAGAATCCCCCTTATTAACCCCTTATGGTAGTCCCTATATGACCCCCCCCTGTAAGGAGCGTAGACTAGAGCATTTGGGAGGGGCTGGGGTATGTGGAGCACATTGCAGCCACCGTTAGGTGTTAGAACGCTACCCCCTCGTATTCCTTAACCTTAAGCCTTCCAGCTTGGTACTCCCCAAACCTTTACGCGTAAATTCCTGAGCCCTAAACCCCTAAACGCTAAACCCCTACGCCCTAAACACACCCAGGTCCACCTGTGGTTGCCGCGGCCTTTGTGGGATCCTCGGCAACAACCACGAAGAATGTCAGGCGCAAGCAGGGAGTTGAGAGATTTCCCTAGCAGGGTGCGGGTTTGGGGGAAAAGGTTTGGGGTTCATGGCCCTAAACCCAGGGTGTTCAGGGTTAAGGGTGTAGGTTTTAGGGTTCGGGGTTGAGGGGATGTCTCTGCATAGGATTGATCTACTCTACTTCCCCATGTTTGGGGCTTCGAATTCAGCACGGGTCCCCATGGTAGCTGCCGCTCGCGTGGAACAGTCTGGTAGGTAAGATAAAAAATCATATTCCTGGTCTGGGGTGTACTGCCTTGGGAAAGTTGGTGCTTCTGCATTTACTGGTCTTATGGGTCCCATGTGTAACCCTAAACCCTAAACCTCAACTGCGTTACAATAATGGCCCAAGACCGCAAAAAAGGTCATTATGTTGCATCCAGGTACACGCTAGCCCTGATGTTGAGATTCGGAGCTTCGAAGGCAGACCTTGAGCCCCTGTATTTGGCATCTTCTGGCATGCAATACCTTTTTGGGGGGTTCAGGGTTTGGGGTCCCTACAGTCAGGATTACAGTCTGGTTGGGTCTATAGACCCTTTGTAAGGATGTGCAAGGAATGTAGTCTTTTCGGGTCTATAGGCCCCCCATGGTGACGGCATGTCAGGATTGTAGTTTTCGGGTGTCCATATTGGGGTTCCAATTTGTTTCTTGCATGCTTGACATGATATTCTGGGGCCCAACAGCGTCCCATCAGTAGACCCTAAACCCTAACCCCTAAACCCTAGATTAGGATGTTGCAAGGCCTTTGCAAGGTTTGGGGTTTAGGGGGTTCTCTAGGTGTTGCAAGAAAAGTGTTTCCGCCGCCGGGGTCCTGAAGTTTGAGAAACCCCGATTAGGGATAGGGTTTAGGGCTTAGGGTTCTGAACCTCACTCTCTTCGGAAGGCACAGTGTGGGATTCGCCTACACTTTCCAACGCGATGCCTTCGCGGACTTGGAATTCAGCAGCTCGGCTGTCAGGGGGTTATATAGGGGTACTCTATGGGGGAGCATAATAGGGCTTATTGATGGGGATACTAGGAGTTTAGACAATGGCTCACGTAGTTTCGGGTTCAGAGTTTAGGATTCGGGTCTAGGGGGTTCAGGGTTTAGGATTTCGTGGTTAGGGTTTAAGGTTCAGGGTGGCGACCCCTACAGCCTTACAATAATTATGACAGCTTCGACAAGTGTCACTGCGGTTTCCCTCAACATGATTTTGTTGTTGGTTTAGGGTTTTAGGGTTCAGGGTTAGGGTTTATGCCCTTGTAGAAACTCCCAATAACTTACTGGGGCTTAGTAGGGAATAAGAAAATACGTGCTATAGGGTTTTTTAGGGACTATGCTCTCTTATTCCTTAAGATAATAAACAGCTACAGTTAGATTTCCGCCAAGGTGCAGGCGTCGATATAGATATTTGCATACATAGCGCTTAGAGAATTTCCTAGTGAATAAAGACCATAGATACCTTGGTCCCCCGTTGGACTCCTCATTTTGAGACTCCCGCATGAGCTATAGTCTAAACTCCTAGTATTCCCCGTAATGTCCCCTATAGTAGTCACCTATATAGTCCCCTGCATAGTCCCCTTAAGGAGTGTAGACTATGGCTCATATCTACGACCGGATTCTGAGGTACTCTAAACTCTAAAATTGAAAGCCCTAAACTCTAAGCTCTAAAGCTCTAAATTCCTAAAAAACCCTAAACCTCCTTATAATTCCAAAAAACTTTAACCCACAACCCTAAAGTGTAAACCCTAAGCTCTCAACTCCAAAGCCCTAAACTCCAATTCTTAAACTGCCGAAGCCTAAAACCTAAACCCTAAAACCCTGCAACCCTGGCCTGGCCGAAGGACATCTAAACCCCCCCTGAGTAGTATTTTATTTGGGGATACTATGGTACCCAATATTACCCCAATAATGGAGAATCAAATGGAAAAGAAAATGGAACATGAAATAGAAGCTGGGATTATATAGGGGCTACATTATATTTTAGCTCTAGAATTTTCATTTGGGGATACTATGGTACCCAATATAGAGTAAGATTATATCCTCCTTTTGGGTATAGTATTTTCTACAAGGAAAATAATCTTACTAGGTTCAACCACCAAAAAAAGCACTACTCCCCTGCCATGCGGACTGCAGATGCGCTTTAGGATTCGGGGTTTTAGGGTGTGTAGGGTTTCAAGCTTCAGGGTTTAGAGTTTAGGGCTAAGGGTTGGTGATTCCTTTTGATTTCCGTCTAAAGAAGCCTGGTCTAGTCAAGGGGGAACTTCGGGCGGAGGAGGTAGCATGGAGGGGTCCCATAGCCCCAGAACGTTCAGGTTTTAGAATAACGCTCAGCGTGCGTCGTAGGACTATGTAGTCAAATCAGCCTCGCCATTGATCTCATGAAGTTCCAGGTGGTGGGTAGTTTCCGCCCATATAACTCTTACATAGCGCTTATCTAGTCCTGGTGTCCCCATATAAGCCTTACATAAGCCTCATGCAAGAGTACCCGCCTAGTAATTACCTACCTGAAAACTCCCTTAACTTGACCCGCCCCACCTCCCATGCCGCTATCACGGTACTTGGAGGATTCTGGGCTAGCAATTCAGGGGTATGCTAGGGTTTAGGTTTAGGGTTTAGGGGGTATGCTTTACGAGCACCTACATCACCCTATTATGTACAATATAGCTTGGGAGGCCCGGAGTGCTAGGATGCCAAAGTCATGTGGGGGTGTTGAGTCTGAACAGCCTAGCCCTGAATTATTGCCTGAACCCTAAATCCTACACTCTAAATTCTGAAGCCCAACCGCTGACCCGTAGCACCCTCCAGCCCTAGGCAACGACATTGGCTACCTCCCGGACGGAACGCCAATCAACCGCGCCGGCATCTTGACAGTGAGAAGTTCTACTGGGAGCTTCATGGGGCTTCGCACGTTCCTCGAGGGACGGGGGCTTCCTCTTGGGTCTGTTCAGGCTTTGCAGTTATAACTAAGGTTACAAGCCCAGATGTAAGTATAGGGGACGCATACGGGCTGCCTACGGTTTAGGGTTACGGGGGTTTAGGGCTTGGGAGTTTAGGGGTTTAGGGTTATTTATGGGTTTAGGGTTTAGGGTTTTCGGGTTTGGAGGTTCTTAACCCAAAGCCCCAACCCCTTTGAACTTGTCAACCCATAAACGCGACACGAAAGGTCTACCTGAGCCCCAAAAGTATGCAAAATAATAGCCCTAAACACTTCAAAATAGCCAAAGCGGCTATAATTCTACATACTTTAGGGGTCCAGGTACTTGGTAGTGCAGCGGAACTTGTAAGCCTGGAGCAAGTCCCCCGAAGATGCTAAGTACTGGTCCTAAACATGGTTTGCCCAATTATTTGGGAGTTTCCCAAATTGAGGGGTATCCTTTTAGGGGTCCCTACCATAAGGATCATAATTTGTTGGGGTCCATTTTGGGGGCCCCCTATTTTGGGAACTTACCACTTATATCCGCAGCTATACCTAAAACCCTAAACCCTAAACCGCATTCTGGAACCGCCACATACTTCGGGTATGGCTAGTTGGATGCCAACGGGTCCAAGCACGCGACATTTGTGGGGATAAGATTGATGGTTCAGGGTTTAGGGTGGGCAACATCCTGCAGCATGACCCTAGAACCCTGACCTAAACCCTCAGAGTGATGGTAGCATACTATGCCTAGGGTCATGAGGGATTTTGTCCCGTAACGGTAGGAACCACATACCACAGTCTTAAGGCATCTTTGGCTTGATGCCTGCCGGTCAATGGTCTCGGTACGTGAGCTTCTGGGAAAGCCGCCCTAACCCAGACCCCCTAAAGGATCCAAAACATGGAACCCCCTAATGATCCTTTGTTTCCCCAATGTAGTAATGGGTTCATTTGAGCCATAGTCTAAACTCCTAGTATCCCCCTTAATAACCCCTACAGTAGTTCCCTGTATAATCTCTTATATAACCCTCTTTCAGGAGTTTAGATTATGGGTTCATTTGGGGGGGGGGTCCTTTTTTTGGGAGCCTTTAGGGGGTCTGGGAAGGTAACGCCATCAATCACCCTGAGAACATTCAACCGGACAGCCGCTCGCCTTCAGTCAAGACACGTGGTTTTTAGGGCTTACGATATACGGTATGTTGGCGTAATATTGGGACAATGGAAAAGGACATGGAAACTACTATAGTATATTGGAGTAATATTGGGATAATGGACAAGTAAATGGAAACTATAGTACATTTTAGCAGGACCCCCCACCCTGTAATAGTGGTATAATAGGAACATAAGAGGACCCTAATATAATCCTTACTATCCATAATAGTCATTATTACTGGGGGTCCACCTAAAGTAGATTGGGGTAATTTTGCACAAAGCAGGTGGGCTCCTTCGAGCTGATGTGTCCCAAAAATGCAGCCCGTTTATGCTGTGTTTCCCTGGGGTTCACTGTTTCGAAGGACTTCTGGAGGGACCCCTAATAGGGACCCTTGTAGCTTATGGGGATTAATATGGGGACATCCTAGGGATATAGGGGTTATATAATGACTGTATAAGGGGTTATATATGGTAATGGGAGTAAGGGTCCCTATTAGGCGTCCCTCCTAAAGTCCCTAGACTGTTGCGCTCCGTAGTGGTTGTGGAGCACAAATATATTTTGGATTTTCATACCTCCAACCCTCAAAACTCGATCCCTATAGCTATCGTGCACTTGTTACACCATCCCCATTCTACAGGTTTCTCTTTAAAACTTTCGAGGCCAAACCCTGCATGGATTGGGGAGACGCGTCCAGTAGAATTCGGCTGTTTTAGACACTTAGGGGCAGCACATTCTCGAAAACAAGCATGACACCCCAACATGGCCCCCACAAAGACGGTTGTCCTTTTCATAGGCAGTGACAGGGGGTTCAGTGCTACTTTGGCGGACAATACCGCAGAGGCTGCTAATTTGAAGGCTTGCGCTACGGAATTAGCTACGGGTGGAGTGCATTGAGATGCTCGTGGATGCCTTCTCCTCATGGTAAGCCTCCCTTCTGATGATCTGATAAGCGTTGAAAGCCCATCTAGCTCATGCGGTGCTAGGATAAACCCCTAAACCCTAAACCCCCTAAACTAAACCCT